ATCTCCCGTCAGCATCACACCAGGGGTCAGGAAGTGCACTTCCCGCAAGGCCTCATGGGAAATGTAGTTTACTGCTCTGCCATTAGCGTCGCAGCAGCGTGAAGGCCTTTGAACACGAGGCGTGGAGAGAGATTAGCATCGTTAGCTCCAGACTACACCCACATTTTAGAGATAGGAGAGACTGATAAGTGGAGGAACAGGGGTGAAGCTGAGGCCACGGATGAAGGGGAAGAGAGATACTTATGAATCTTTTTGTAGGTTGCTTTAGAATACATAACCTCTGTGATAAACCAGGGACATCAAACGACAATAAATCAGTTTGAAGATGCAGGAAAGATCCCCATAGCTTGTAACAAAATGGATAGAATCAACATTGAACACAACTACAGTCTGTTTTGGAAGAGGGAACCATGTTGTAACTCTAAAAGCAAAACAAATTCAGTCAGAACGAATATTTCTCACAGATCTTTGCACACGGCCTTTACAAAGACATTAGTGGTTGTGGAGGTTATGGAGCTTATCTGCTGATGGAAAGAGCCAAGTTTAGAGCAATTAAAGCCGACTCAATTCATATGGGACGGGTTTAAAGTATTCACACACACATATAGACACAGACACACACTCACACACACAGACAGAGACCCACACACACAAACACAAACAGACACAGACACACACACACACAGACAGAGACCCACCCACACAAACAGACACATATGCACGCACACAAACAGACACACACACACACAGAGGTCGAGTAGTCAGGGGAGGCTCTCCCCCATCATGAGAATAAAATATTAATATTCCCACTGTCATTTCTTTTATTGTATTTTAATTTTTCCATGTGTTTCCAAACAGTTTTGATAATTTTTTGTCAAAATCTATGAAATCCTGTATTTTCCTGTTCAGTCACTGGGCACGTGCTGGTTGTCATTTCCAGCACTCACACAGCACACTGTCCTTTAGTGTGGCACATACAGTGCCTTGCGAAAGTATTCAACATTTCAGGCTTCAAACATAAAGATATAAAAAAAAAAATGTTTTGTCATGAATCAACAACAAGTGGGACACAATCGTGAAGTGGAACGAAATTTATTGGATAATTTAAACTTTTTTAACAAATAAAAAACTGAAAAGTGGGGTGTGCAATATTATTCGCCCCCTTGCGCTAATACTTTGTAGCGCCACCTTTTGCTGCAATTACAGCTGCAAGTCGCTTGGGGTATGTCTCTATCAGTTTTGCACATCGAGAGACTGGAATTCTTGCCCATTAGACCTGGTTTAGACCTGCCATAGACCTGCTTTAGACTTGCCTTAGATCTGCTTTAGACCTGCTTTAGACTTGCCTTAGACCTGCTTTAGACCTGCTTTTGTCTCTGTTAGACCTGCATTAGACCTGCTTTGCTTTAGTCTCTGCTCTAGTCTCTACTTTAGACCTGCATTAGACCTGTTTTTAAACATGTTTAAGACCTGCTTTAGATCTGTTTTCGACTTGCTCTAGTCTCTGCTCCAGTCTGTGCTTTAGTCCAAGTTCAGTCTCTGCTGCACTCCTGGGTCGGTCCCAGCTCAGTCCTGATTCAGTCCTGACCTGGGTTTTCTGTGAATAACCTCCTCGTTGGCACAGGCCTGGTCCCTTAACCTCCTAATCGTCTCACACAGAGTAATAAGGGCCACTCTTCACCATAATTAAGCCTGCGTCACCATTGACACTTTAATTAATTTTATTTACAGCACAAAACAAGCTTATCTCAAACGACCTCCAGGTAATACAACTTTTAATAAAGGTCTGGCAGTTTTAATTAAAGAGAAAGAGTGATTTTCAGAGCTTCTGCAGTGACTTTGCGCTTGGCTTATAGAACACACGCACTACGCAAAAATCCTCTTCTTTCAGTTTTGTACCGTGTTCCATCAATGTTCCTGATCAAAACCAGACCTGGATCTCTGTACACACTGAGACTGTAGTGTGCGTGTGTGGGTGTGTGTCTCTCTCGGTGTCTTTGTGTGTGTGTGTGTTTGTGTGGGTGTTTGTGTGTGTGCGAGCACATATCTTTCACATGCATATCTTTCTGTGTGTGTGCGTCTCTCTGTCTCTATGTGTGTGTCTCTCTCTCTGTGTGTGTTTGTGTGTGCGTGTGTGTGTCTCTCTGTGTGTGTTTGTGAGTCTTTGTTTGCCTGTTTGTCTTTCTGTCTTCGTGTATATCTTTGCGTCTGTAAAAAGATATAGAGTATATATTCTTTTTAGGTTTAAAAAAAAACAAACAAAATCAGGAATGTACTGAAATGCTTCAGTCCATGAGTGGTCTCTTCTTACATCACACACAGTTATAATCTGCCCTAAAACAAAAGCCTGTTACGACACTTAACCACACAACACATAAAGATCGCCGCATCCTTCTTTTGCTGATTTTCTAATGTATTTTTCTCATTGGGGATTTGTACAAAACCCACATTTGCAGCTGCAGGTCTGTCTCTGTGGACTCTGGTTCAAACCTCCCACTCG